CAGGGAGAGGAGGATGTACAAACATGACTGTACATGTTTTTACGACGGATTGACTCTGTAGCTTTTTGAGCCCTCCCCCCCACCCGCCTAAAGGCTGGTGTCATGCCTTTCCGACTTTTTGCAGCTTTTATTCGATGCTTTGGCAGCGAGCCCTGCATCGAGCTCTGCAAACGACAGTCTGGGCATGCTTAGCCGTGTGTACTTGTGTACCGAGCAGCGGGGGAGAAAACGAAGTGCTGAGCAGGGAGAGGAGGATGTACAAACATGTTTATGTCCGCGAGTCTTGTTGAGGGGTGGTCAAATATGGATGTTTGTTGCTAAACCAAACGCCTCCGCTGCGGGATGATGACAAACCTAATGATTGAAAATTTGGTGCGAGCGCAGGTTGGGGATGCGGGGGGTGCAGGTGGCACAAGTTGGGCTTGTTTGCAACCTCTGACGTCGAAGTTCCCCGCTGGCAGTCGAATGCTGATTCGCCGGATGCTGGCTTGCACGGCGAAACATGACTGACGAAAACATTGTTTCCGTGCTGTGACTGCACCATGTGTGCACATTGTGCACGCATACAATCCTGTGTCCAGGATGCCACAGGCACGGCGCCTGAGCCGAGGCCGAGCGTTTGCTGAGAGTTCTCGGGGCAGATCAGATTGAAACCGCGACAGGTCGTTCGCCTTTTCGCTGTGTGCTGGTTGCCGAAATCCCACCATGACTGAGCAAGACCGACCGTTTGATTTTTCAAAAAGCACTATTCTGTGCACATGAGTTGGCGCTTGGAAGAGGCCGCAAGAAATCCATCACATTCGATTTCCTGTTTCCTCCATCAAAGCATCGCAGCAGAATGCTGCCCCTGCAGCAAGATGCTGTTCGGAAGTTGTTCGTGCAGTGTCGGCCGTCCTGGCAGGAGCGCCGGCAATTCCAAAGCAGGAATTGAATCGTTGAGGTGAACTGCACAAAACGACATGTTCCTTCAGCCCTCTCGACTCCGAGGAGTAGAAGACGTCGCGCAGCTGCATTGGCTGTCGGAGCAGATCGCACCTGTATAGGGAAGAATTACACGGGTATTTAGAAAGAAGCCTTCTCCCGCGAGGTGCAACTGTGTTGTTCGACTTCGTTTTCTGCGAGGACCTCATGTTCAATCGTGGGGAGTGAGAGACTAACAGTGACCGGCCTGACTGCGCTTTGCCTTAAGCCTCAAGGCTGGCATGGCGTTCACTTTCTGTTGAAAGTTCGGCTTGGAAACTTAGACGCGGAAATGGGAAAGAGGCAAGGTAGGGCAAGGTAGGGCATGGGTTTCGATGTGAAAGTGCCGGCACAAGAATGGGCCGCATTGCTTTCCGCTTCCTTTCTGACGTTAGGCAGGACGAGATAGGAAGTTCCGGTTTTCGCCGTTTGTTGTGACAGCCCATGATACGGGTCTCTCAAATCATGCCATTTCGGGACAAGGTGGATCTTGGAGGTTGGAAGACGCAGGAGGAAAATAGCGTTGGAGAAGATGTGGAGCCGACCAAAACATGCACAACCATTGCCTTGGCTTTTCGTGCTTTACGTGCCTTGCATGCCTCGCAGCTGCCTGGACTGGAGAGGGTGCACAGGCACCCGAGTCCGGGCGCAGGCCGGGCTGCTGGCTTTTTCAGCGAGTGATGGAAAGCCAGCCTGGCTGGCTTGTGGGCGCGTGGGAGGTGCCATGCTGCTGCCGCTCCTGCTCTTTGCCATTTGGCCTGGCACTGAAGGCAGATTGCGACGCTCAAGCGCCAGTTTCTCGGTTCTGCTTGCCGTGAAGGTGCAGCGCTGCGGAGGATTTTCAGAAACGAAGCGCAGCCTGGATCCTTGGGACATTTCGGCCTTGGGTACAGCCACTTCCTCTCTTCGACCAGGTCGTCGGAGCCTGCTCAGGGCGAGGTCGTCGCCCATCTCTACGTTGGGCCCTCGATGCAGCTGCTAGGAAATGCGCCATGCGCTGTTGGACTTAGTCGGTTGTCGATGACTACCTCCGCTACTACTCGGAGGAAACAGCTACCTACAAAGAGGCACATTCAAGCTGTCTTAGACCCCTAAGCCTAAGACCCTAAACCCCAGACCCAGAGCTTTGCCCCGGCGTGTGCCATGTTGGCCAGTCCAAAAAAACCATGACGGCAATTATCCGCGACGCTCTGACTGAAGAGGCACGTGCTGTGCAAGGGCTGGTCTAGATTTTAGATGTTCCACGATGCATTTTGGGCTTGTTGTTTCCTTCGAGGCCGACTTCCATCGTTGCATACTCGGTCTCCGCCGACCAGTTCGAAGCCGTTTTCCCAACGCTCGCCAGCCCTGAGTGTGCAGATAGAGTAAGAATGCTGAGTCGAGGGTCCACTTGAGCTAAATGCCCTGAAGCACATGAGAGTGTGGAAGCCTCCCATGGGCCTCTGCCATGACGTCGAGCACGGACAAAGAGGCAGCGCTGCATCCCGACTTGATGTCCGATCTTTTCTCAGATACGCACGTGAAGCTGAATCAACGGGCTTGAATCAGTGTCACTTCGCTGGTTCCCTTGCCAAACTTCGCAGACGGAGAAAGGCAAAGGGCACCACCCGTTGGAGATCTGCCTTGTCCGTTCAGGCACAAGATTCTACTCTGGTGCAAGCAGCAGCCGGTGGAGCAATGGCGGCTCTGCTCTTTGACGGGGCCTCAGCGATGGAATGTCACTCGGGTCACCTTCAGACGTTTTGTGAACGCAATGCTTCACTACGCCGCATCCTCGCCATCACATTCTCACCCGACGCGGAGGCAACGGTCAGGTCCTTCAAGGACGTGGACTCTGCAGAGGCCTTTGGTGTTGTTGGCAGACCAAAGTTCTGCGAGTGGCTCGCGAGACTTTGCAGGACATCGTCGATCTCTGTCATTCTCTCTACACGTGCTGTGCCGAAGCCTCAATGCGAGCAGTTTCTGCTGGCCACGGAGTTACCTTTTGCTTCCATACTGCTTCTGTTAAGCCTCTGAGGTCTCAGCGTCTGCTGCCAGTGGCGCGCACGGAACCCAAGCTTTCAGAGCAGATGTGGCCCCTCTCCTCCAAGCAGAGGTGCCCTGACAGCTGGCTAATCATACTGGGCTCAAGGGTGTCGTGCCAAGCCGCTTGGCCAGTTGGCGGGATGGTCAGCAGCTTTTGCAATCTCTTGCAAGCTCCTGGTGGCTCGACAGGGTTCCCGGAGTGCGGGGACGTGGTTCTGTGCTTTGGCTCGCCTTCATGCATCGAAAAGACCTTAAGCGTAGGTCCACATGCACCAGGACTAGATAGATTTCCACAGGATGCCCATGCCAGGGTCGGATCGTGAAAGCTGGACAAGCTCATTTCGAGCAACTCATCCCTGCTCCACCATCCCCCGATCTGCTTCGGTCAATGTCTGTTATTGTCCGTGTACGTCTGCGTGCCTGTCCGAGAAAGGCCAAAGTTTGTCCCTGCTTCCGTGTCTGCCGGTCTGCCTGCGCCAAAATGCGAGCGGCGACCTTGACCGGGTCGTGGGGCCCCTGACTGTAGCTGGGAGGATAAATCAAGCTCATGGGTTGAGCCGGAACTTGTGGGCTTCTGCTCTGGATACAGACATTCTCAGGGCAGGTGAGGCGGGGATGGAGAGCGTCTCAGAGCGGGAAATGGCACGCAAATTGAGCTGGGGACGGAGGATTGGCAAGCGCTGATTCTTCCAGCCGACATGCTTTTTTTGTTGTTCACCTGCACTTGCCGCTTGACCAGCGTAACGGGTTGGACCGCGGGGCAATAGAAAGAAGATAATGCTTCCTGCCTTCCCGCGGACTTCTCCACATTTATTTAGGTCGAAGCAGCGCCGTAAGCGGTGCGATGACGAAGAGTCCGAGGTGCGCATCGGGGGTATGACATCCGAGATGTTCACTGCAAAAGTCCTGTTGGTTTGGTAGCATCCGTGTGATGGCCATGAAGGTGCTGGTGCTTTCACCTCGGGCCTATGCGAGTGCCACTGCCATGCCCCGTTCCGAGCGCCGTTCTATTTGGACATGTGGCGGGTGGCGACCACATGTGGCCTCATGCAGCAGGTTTGCCCGATCCCTTGGATACTTCTGGGCAGATGCCCTGTATGTGCCTTGCGCTGCAAGTTTTTGTCTCCGAATCGCGCATGACTCATCGCTTTTCTTTGCAATGAGATCTTTGGCTGCCGCCTCTGGGGACATCGTCCACACATGTGGCGTGAAAGGCACCATGACAAGTTCATGCAGGCAGGGGTTCGACTAAACACTGCGAGGCTAGGGCATCACGCCTTGCAAACGTTGGCGAATTGGAGCTGCTTGGTGAAAGGGCACGGCCCTCAGCTTCTCAGTGCCATGTAGTGCCCTCTTTTAGAGAGGGTTTCGTCCGGCAGCTCCTGAGGCCCGGTCTCGAAGCGCGCCGCTGCACGTTGGCCTTCGCTTACATGGCCGAGGACGGCCTGCGCTCACTTCTTTCAGAAGAGCTTTCATCCTCAAGCACTCGCTCATCTTCCAAGCTATGGTGTGGCTTCTAGCGCCCTTTAGAGAGCCAGGCTTGCAGTTCTCCAGCTTCTGACGTTTGAGTGTAGATGCAGCTGCACCGTCGGCTTGTTCATCTGCTCCTCCCCATCTTCACACACTGAAAACTGCGATCCTGGCATTTTTGGGGCAAGCCAAGGCACATTCTCTTCGTCAGCACTGTGTTTGTTTCATTGTTTCAGGCGGCTATTGTATTTATTCCTATTGAGGTTGAGCCCGAAATTTCGGAATACCGGAGAAGGTATGACATAGCTAGGTATCCGGCTTTGGTAATTGCAAAAATTCCATCTGGCTTCTTCGGAAATTCATGTTCAGCGGGTGTGCAAACGGTGCTTGTCCGTGCAGCCGGACCTGTCAGCCGCCATGCAAGGGTCCCAATTGAACAGGCTTCATCTGTTCCCTTGAGACTCTTGGCACTTGCCCGACGAGCCAAAGCGGAAGGTGTCTTGGGCTCAGTGTCAGCAAAAAAGCATGCATGTAAACTGGCAGTTAGACTATGTTAGACTGCCACGTCTCAGGTGATCAAGGTCCTGCGAGCTTGTACCCTTTGCGTCTTCGGACTGTCACGGATACTGAATGGTGCCTTCTGCATGTGCAGAGCTGAACTTTCTCTGTGTTGCGAAGATCTTAAGCACTGTGCGACTGTACGAGTCTTACTCGAGTGGCAAGGTCTCTTCTAGTCGCCTCCAGACGCCATGTGTCCGACAAAATGTAGCCGCGGCCTGTTTTCGGAAGACTTGGCACTCGTAGCTTTCTTGTTCGTGGTTTCCATGCCCACATGATGCAGGTTGATGCTGCAGCTATCGGGAGCTGCTGCAGCCTATGCTGGTGACTCATTGCATGGCACCGCACGGGGTTTGTTGTCAAGTCGTGCACCCACATTCCATCGAGGCTATGAATTGGGCTTGGTTCTTGCGCCTGATCCAGACCAAGTAGCGCTGAGAAAGCATGTGTGCACACTGCTCGCGCTGCATGCTTGCAAGTTGCTTGCATCAGCTTCCAAAGAGGTTTGTAGTTGCAGCAGATTTGGGTGAGCTGGAACCCGCAGAACAGTTCACCTCAGGAATTCGAATCTTGACCTGTCTGCCAGTCGCGGCTTGGGTCCATCAACGAGAAGGCTCGCCTGAAGGCACCGCCGAAAGTTTATGCAAATCATGCTCCGCAATGCGGTGCGATTGAAACTTGACCAGTACGGCTTGCTTGCAGCGAAAGCAGCCTGTGCCGCTGCAGAAACAGCACGACAAAACCGTGGCTGAGTATGTGGCTGTGATGAAGTCATCATCTCAGCTGTGATGTGCAGCAACCACAGCACGCTGGAGAAGCATGGAGTGCGTGCTGGAGCACCTTGGCGTGCGCTACAGGCAGCTGGACGAAGCCCTTCAGGTCTAAATGGGTTAGAATCACGGTTAGAATCAGTGGACTCACAGTGGCCTTGACTGCTTGCTGTGTCGTGAGTCGGTGTATGATAGGCGATGGAGGGCAAAGACTGGGCCGAAAAGCATGGAGTCAAGGCCGGTTGCAGCTGGCATTGCCATACAGCCCGCGACCCCGTCATCACAGGATAAGCTCGATGCCATGTACAAGGCGGGTTCTGCAGGTTCTGCCTTTCCTCCGTGTTCTGCCCCGTCGCAGGGAAGCTCCCTTGGCTCTGCTCAGCAAGGCTTCCAAGCCAGGTGGCCGGCAGAGTCTCGCAACACGAGCCGACGAGACAGTGCATGCTCGTAGCATCGCAATGCTTGCTGCAGGCCATCCGATCGGACTCAAGCAGGGCCTGAATCTGGCCGCAGACGCAGCCGCGCACCTCAGGTCCGTGCCTGTGTTGTTTGGTGGTGAGGGCTGTGCAGGCTGGACCCGGTGTCTTTTGTGACAGGAAGCTGCGCTCGACACTCCCTTGAGGTTCTGAGTTCTGAGGGACTCGAGGATGGCGGTATCCCGAGGAAAAAGAACCTGCGTGCAACTCATCAGGGAGGAGGCATCAGTTTACCTGTTGGCAGCCGTGTGGCGAAGAGCAAAACATGATTTCAAAAGGTGCGGATGGGCTTCCAATCAGGTCGTCGTGTTTCTAGGACTTAGATCTTCTGACGTTGACTGCGCATATTTGGGCAAAAGATGTCAAAAACTTAAATGTGGGCGATGTCCGTTCTCGCAACATTCTGCCCCGGGCTTTCAGACAAACTTGTTGCTGGCTTTCCTAGGTGAAAGTTCCCATCTCAGTCATGTAGAACAGCTGACATCAGCTTCGCTGCATCTACTCCCCGGCCCCGCGGAAGATTTTGGAAAGCTTGCCCGCCCTGGCTTTGGGTCTTGTTGACTTCGCACAACCCAGCCGCTGCCACAGCGGTGGGGCTTTTCAGCTGCGGGGTCAATTAGCGGCCCATTGTGCATGTTCGTTTGGCATGGATCGCGAAAATGGGCCTTCGCGTTTGCACTGGAATACGACGACTCCAATGCAGCACACGCCTTCTAAGCCTGATCAGCGAGAGAGCAAATGCAGATGCAGCAGCGGCTTGGAATACGGGGTAGGTGGAGGTGTGAGCTATGCTTAGCAGGTGGGATGTGGTGTAGCAATAATGCATCAACAGCTATCCACCTATCCACCAGCAGCTTGAGTTGTCGTTCCGTTTCAGCAAGGGCAACTGCCACCGGGGCCCGTGCAACTGCTGTTGCTCTCAAGCAGAGACACGGAATACCATTCCAACGAAGACACAATTTCAGCAGATCGCTTTCTTTTCAAAGTGCTGCGCAGGCTTGACGACACGAGTGCATCCAATCTAGCGACAACTAGCAGCTGTCCGTATCACATCTAGACGCCGAACCTTTCCACTAGGCCCACTGCGCCACGAGTTTCATCTCAATGTCCAAACAAGCGCGCACACACACAGAGACACCCACACACCCACACACCCACACACCCCCACACCCCCACACCGCCACACCTCCACACCTCCACCCCCCCACACCCACACACCCACAGGCCGCACATCCACGCCTGATGCAGTGCAGAGCCGCCCAAGCCCATGCCGCTCATGCCATGATGTTCAAAGAGCCCTGAGCCATGGCTGGACTGACTGCCCTGGTGTCGTCCGCCTTATCGGAGGTCCTCTGACAAGCGGTGAGCACTTCGCGCGACTCACGTGTCTCTTGTGAGAACTCTCGCATGTCCGGAGCATGCAAAGGATAAACGCCAGCAGCAAAGGCTGACGGCCGCAGCTCTGGGGCTTTTGCAGAGGCTTCCGCCGAAGGATTCCGCACAAAAGCTTTTCTCCTCATGGTTCTACTTTGCTCTGCGAAGGACCTGGAAGCGGACATTGATTCCCTCGTGGCCATCTCTCCGCTTCTGGACGGACGCTGTTCACATAGGAGTTGACAGCCTGCGCGTCCTGGCTCGAGGGAAGGCCCCTGTGTGATAGCAAGTTAGTGGCAGAAGCTCGTAATTTGTTTTGTGACTTTGGACGAGTCCATCCTCTGTTGTTCGGTCGCTTTTTTCCAGAACAGCCCACCCCAAAGCACAAGCAGCCAACAGATCCCGTTCTAACCCTTGCTTTCCAAAGAAGGCTTCACAGCTTAGCCAGACTAGAAATCTCCAAACACTGCGTGGAATGCAACCGCCCACTTTGCTGCTTAGCGTTTGTGTGTCATGGTGCTGGGTCGCGAAGCGAAGGCTCGGTGCTGTCCTGTTCTGTGGAGATGCTTGCAGGATTCCAGGACATGATCGTGTCTATCAGGAACGATGTAGAAGTGCTTGGGTTCAGCATTGCTTGGGGAGTCTCTGGTGTGCGGCAAAGTCTCAGCCATGAGCTCGCTCAAAGGTTGTGCACCTGACATCACGCAGCTTTCTCGGCTAGCCTCGTCGCATTAGGAATGCTTTGCCGCGTTCACAAAGAAGATACTTCTAAAGTCAAGCCTGCTGGATTGTGGATCGCGCAGACCTTCGCTTGCAAAAGCCTTCAATACACAGCAAAACACACCATGCGTTTGAATCGGCAGTTATTCTAAAGGCACTGCCACACTGATCGATGCAGAGTGTCTCCTCCTCCTCTGCCTCTGACACTGGGCGCTCTGCAAAAGCGCAGAAGTTCTATCGGTTGCCGCTTGCCTGCAGCTACCTGCGGAGGCAAATCCTGAACATCTTAGATCGTTTTTCCGGCAACCCTGCTTGGTTCCCCAGCTGCCTCATCGTTTTCGTCGCTCATACGAGCCTCCGGTTTTCGCTCAGCTTCATCCACTCAGTCAGACTCTCTGACAGAGTCTCTCTCTCTCTCTCTCTCTCTCTCTCTCTCTCTTTTGTATATTTTTGGTATGCACTTCACTTCACTTCACCACTGAGTGAGGCTCTCCTTGCCCAGTGTCGACTTGGCCGCATTGCGGGAGCTCCTATGGTCCGGTGCACCGGAGGAGGATCCGAAGATTCGGGCAGAAGCATGGCAGATGCTGCTGGGATATTTGCCCCCAGTGAAAGACAGACAAGGGCCAGGATTGCAAAAGAAGCGAGAAGAGTATGAAGAGCTTCGGAGGAGACATTACACGCCCATCGAGTCAGGCCAAGATGGTTTGAGTGATGTGGATTCAGCGGCGATTCTGCGGCAAATTCGTGTAGACATCCCGCGGACATCGCCTGGCTTACCCATCTTCAGTCATCCGCGGATACATCAGCTCCTAGAGCGCGTCCTTTTTATTTGGTCCATACGGCACCCGGCCAGTGGCTACGTGCAGGGGATCAATGACATTGCGACACCTTTTGTAGTGGTTCTGCTGGCATCAAGACTTGACTGCTTGCCTGAAGACATTGATGTGGATGCTGCCACTGACGAAATGCTGGACTCTGTGGAGGCCGGTGCGTACTGGTGTCTCACCAAGTTCCTCAGTGACATTCAAGACCACTACACCGCAGGCCAGCCAGGAATACAGCAGATGGTTGCGAAACTAAAGGAGATTGTCCATCGAATAGACCAGAAATTGTACGAGCATCTGGAGTCGCAAGGCTTGGACTTCTTGCAGCTTTCTTTCAGGTGGATGAACTGCTTGCTTCTTCGCGAGTTCCCTTTCCCATGTGTCATACGACTCTGGGATACATACATCGCAGAGCCACTGGAGGGGTTCTCCTCCTTCCACGTGTATGTCTGCTCCCCGGAGTTGCATGATACCTTGTGCCATCGGCTCTCGAAGGTCTGTCTGAAAGGCTCATGGTGGGCATAGCATAGCCCTGCCAAGGTCTGTGCAGTGTTCCTCATCTACTGGTCTCCGCAGCTTAAGCAGATGGACTTCCAGCAACTCATGCTGTTCATGCAGAAGCTTCCAACCGGAAAGTGGCGAAACCAAGAGATTGATGCTTGCAGCGTTTGAGCAGACTTTTTGCATACGGTTCTGGGGCGGGAGCCAATTCAGGAGGGTTGCAGGATGATGCAGCCATTTGCAGGGGTGGTGGTATCACATAAACGCATATTGCCGGATTCTTTTGCGGTTCAACTTGTTTTGGAAGCCATGTGCGCATGCTCCACTTCTGGGGCTGCCCTGTTGGAAGCCTGACGCATCAGTGCATGAAGCACGCAGCTGATGGTTAAAGATATTACGTGGCGGTATGAGTGACACTTCTGCATGCTTGCAGCCCAGGAAACACTGCTTGCGGAGGCATTCGTGTTGAAAAGCTTGTTTCATTCATCTCCAAACCACCTGCATCAAAAGAGATGAGTCAGTCTCGTGCCGATTGTGCGATCAGCTCTGAGGGCTTGAGGGAGGTAGGGCATGCTCGCTGTCAGGGTTGATGCATCGCTGTCGAGCAGTGGTGCTAAATGCTGCGGCGATTCGGGCGACATACATGTGTGACCGAGTGCTTCGTGTGAGAGCATCCCACTCACAAGTTTGGTGTTTGGCCGGTCACCAGCAATGTCCCGAATCTAAATCGTCTCATGGTGCCTGGCACCAAAGCTGCGGAAAATCTGCCATGTGTAGCAAGGCAGAGATAAAAGTCTTGCTGCGGATACTGCTCGTGGTATTCACCTTTGCACGAGCACGCTCTGTGCAACAGGTCGGCGACAGCGAGCGCGCCGGTCCTCATCACGGCCACATTGCAACGGGAAAAAGATTGTGCTTCAGAGATGCTCGCATCGATCATTCTTTGTGCGGTAGATGTAAAAGGGGTATCAGCATCCGATCGCAGCTTGCGACAGGAGTCTGGTTTGGCTCCATACATCTCCAGACCCTTGAAGGTGAAGGAAGATCTGAAAGCAAACAGGCTGGATCATGCTCATGCCCTGCAGAGAAAACGGAGCTATGGAAAAGGCATTGCAGTTGCTTTTTTTTGCATGGCAGGTACTTTGTTGCATCCGACTACAACTTTGATGGAGGCAAGTGTCTCTTGAAGAACACGGTGGCTTGGTGTCTCGGGGTAAATGCCAATGCTACGAAGGCTCGCATCGATCTCCATGGACCGACAGGCATCGGCATCCGTCATTGTCACAGAGACTAGCAGCCATGAGCTTTATCGAGGTACATCCCTGTGCCTCCTGGTGGCGAGGCTGAGGAGGTCCCTTTGATAGCCTTTGGCCCGCAGCAACCGCTGCATACTCCTTTTGCCCAGTGCAGGAGAGACTCTTCCGGCCGTCTGCACGCCTGAAGCGGCTCGAGCAAAGCTTCAATGAGGTGAAGCCCTCTTGGGGATTTTTTGGGTGTAAGAACAGTCTCTTGCTGGGCAGGTGTTCGAGGCATATGTCATGAGCTACTACGAGGTCCGGGGAACCTGTTGGAAACATCGAGTACAAGCTGGTCGGGTGGCAGATTGAAAGTCACACTCTAGCCGGCCATCTGCTTCAGGGTGGCGTGTCGTCTGTCTACCTATGGGACCTTGATGAGGCCGGTTGACACGAAAAAGCAGCATGCGTTGAGTTTTCAGTACGATGCCGGAAGCCTTTCACACAGAGAGACTCGTGGGTGGTTGAATGCAGAAGTCGAGCGAATCGAATGCTAAATCAGGATAGATTTGCACAAATCGATCCGTAAACTCCAGGTTTGAATGCGAGATAGGAGGAGGAGGAGGTAGCTGGTGGCCGTGTAGATGCTACCGATACAAATCTTGGTTCGACGCCTGAAAGACTTCAAAACTGTGCAGTCCGTATTTTCTTGTGAATTCAGTGCCTTTGCTCGCAAGTTTGAATGGCCTCTGCTGCAGGGCTTCGCCGGTGCTTTCTTGGTCCACAAGGAGCTCGCCAAGGTCCTTGGTCTGGTACTGAGATATTTCAGATGCCATACCAGAAGCTCCGATGCAAAAAACAGCGCGGTTGAGATTGTCTTTGACAGAGCCTTCGAGGGGCGAGCAACAATCGGTGCGGAGTCAGTGCGGAGTGACATGGAGTGACGGGATGTAGATGGGGCATCCTGGAGTTGTCAGGCCGACCCGGTGTGATGGCAGACCACCACACCGGATGACGGAAAGCGGTCTTGCGGCGTCTTGGAGTTGCCGGGCGAAGCCCAAAAGGTCTGGGGTGTGGGGGTGGGGGGTGGGAGACCGCGACATCGGATTTGCAGAAAATCGGGGCCCGTTTCAGCATCACCGCGAGCTCGCCTAGGGTCCCACGTTGTGGTCGGCCCCAAACGTGGCTTGCATCATTCAACGTGCGTTGTCAGCGGAATTATCAGCGTTTCGCTTTTTTTCTGGCAATTTCCGACGTTCCCGTAGCCAGCATTATGAGCGTCAGCTGCACCCCCTGAACGGCCGACGGGTGTCCCCTGCACGACTTGTCGCAGTCGTTTCGCGCAACTTTTCTGCCACGCCTGGCCGGACCACCTGATGCTCATGATGTGCGCCCCCCTGGGCCAGCATCATGAGCATCAGCTGCGCCCCTTGTTCTCCGCGGCAGAGCCATCTGCTGCTCATGATGCACGCCTGGCACGTCCCACACAGGCCTTGTAAGGAAGAGAATACTACGGCATCGCCTACTGGAGCAGTATATCTCTACTGGTAGTGCAGCAGTATTATGGCCGGCTTCAAACAAGCCGTGCCCTTCAGGGTGCACACAAAAGGCGCCAAAGCCTGGGAATACGGTAATATGCTGGAATATGCAGTAGAGCGTACTATATAATCTACTACCGTATACCGACATGGGCACGTGTGTCCTGCTTTGCCTGCTGGGTCAATGTGGCTACGCTTGACATATGCGCTGTGTTAGTTTCCTGCCGAGCACTTTTGTTGACCCTGGCGGCCATGATCCGCTGCAGCTGTCGCGTCCTGCTTGCTGTCAGGAGCAGTTGGCACATAGCTTCCCCCGGTATGATTTTGGAGTGGGACAACGCCGGCCGTCTGCAAAAACACAATGGAGGCTCAGACGCCGCACCTGCACCCTGCTTCGCAACGATTTCTTCCCAGTTGTGTGTGCAACACCTCTGATTGATGAAGATACCGTTGTCTGCATGTTTAGCTGCAAGAAATGCGATGGACGAAGTTGGCTGACAGAGTCGTCGTTGACCCATCCAGGCTGGATTGTGTTTCCAGGTGATCGGCGCAGGAATATGATACGGGAGGCAACCTGCATGTGCCAGCGCAGGACAGCGGTGCGTGACGGTTCAGCAGAGCGTTGCAAGATCCAGCACAACGACGGTATGGTTAAGGAATGTTAAGGAGGTAGATGGGCTTAGGCTGTGCACGGGCCGCATGCAGATCTTTTCATCAATGTCCGCGGTAACATGATGGAGCGAAACAATGGACCGATGTTGCGAGCTTTTGAACAAACCACTAATGCTGCGGAATTGATTGTGGCAACGCGTTTAATTAATGCATGAACCAACTCATGACAAACATAATGCTATTGTTGTTATGCGCAGCGCCTTTTGTCCAAAGATTTCGTCGCGAAGCGCCCAGCGGGGCCCGGTCCTCCGAAACCAGCAACACCGCGGCCTTCGGCCCGCCGCTCTACAGCCGCAATGGGTCTTCAAGAGTGGACAGGGGACGAAGCAGCCCGGTCACTAACACACTGAGAGAACGGCATGACAGGTGAACGGAGAGTTTAGGATAAGAAGCGCAGAAAGGGATACAATTTGTAGCAATAGTGGCAGAATGAGAAGCAGAAAGGAGTCAGACATAGGCAGGCGGCTTGAGCGGCAAATTGCCCTTGTGAGAACGATGAGAAGAGTACGAAGAGATCAGAGTAAGATAATCCAGTGAAGAAAGGATGCGGGAGTCAGAGCTGTCAGCAGGACGACCAAAAGCGATGATTTATGGCTATCCTGGTAAGAGCAGTGAAGTCGGAACATCAAGATAGCAAGAGCATTCAGTATTGACAGCGAGGATCGTGACAAAAACAGGAGACCGGACGGAATGAGGACTTGTCCTAGAAAGAGCGGCAGGTATTTTAACAATGATGCAAAGAGATACAGAGAGTGGGAGCATTGCGCAGTGGTACAACTTGCCAGCACTCAACCCTCAGGAAGAACGATGACTTGTACTACTGCGAGGAGTGTTGAGGATCGTCACGATGCTTTCCGTTGTAACGGTAGTAAGAGCATGGCTAACAAGAAATCAGCAATGGCTCGGGATAATGTTGGCCCGGTTAAGAGACTGAACGGTGGACTCATCGTTCTGCGTGAGTCGTGGCTCCTCAATCTCGGATAGTGGTCTGACCAGTACCATGAAAGGATTCGTCCCGGGTGCTTTATTGAGTTGTGTCAAGCAGTCCGAGGCGACGGAAAGACGGGCGTGTGGGACTCCATCCACGTATTGGAGGTGGGATGGATGAAGTCCGCTCAACCAGAATGGAGCTGATTCCGGATTTGTGCAAGTGCCACGGGGTGAACTGGCTGCTAGATCCCAGGTACGGGAGTCGCCGAACTCCCACTACGTGGATTTTAAGCTCTCCAGTGCGATCTGGCTTCATTTTCAGGCCGTCTTTGTCCTTGTCGTGCGTGAACACTTTGTGCTCCTGTGAAAACTGCATTGATCCGATTCTCGTCGTTTTAGTAGCAGCAGCAAACGCAGTAGCAGTAGCAGCAGCACTAGCAGTGGCAGTGGCGGTGGCGATGACAGTGGCAGTGGCAGTGGCAGCACCATCAGCAGCCGCAGCCGCAGCCACCATCACAATCACCATCAGCATCACAGCATCACAGCATCACCATCAACATCACCATCGCCATCAGCATCAACACCACCATCATCCTCATCACCAAAAACCATCACAAACGACAAAATCATCATCACTACAAGCATTATCACTCTCCAGAGAAGCTGCGATCCCACATGGAGCTCAGAGGAAATCCAAAGGAACGCAGAAGAAAGGAGACAGCCAATGCCACTTTGTGTGTTTTGCCTGTCGGACAAATACACAATGGCCTCAGTCTTTTCCGTCCGTGGACAGGTTGCTGCAAAGGCCGATCAGACGGAACTCTCCGGACATCTCACTCGCCAGGCCGCCGCTGCTACCGCAGTGGTCTACAGATCTCACAGCTGACCCAAGGCAGAAGCACGGCTGGATCGGCGCAAGAAGGCTGGAGAGGACAGGCTGCGAGGGAGGTGCCACACTCGTCACGAACGCTAGATCTTCCGAAGCCTGTTTAGGGGAGACATGTGCCTTGGTGAGGGAGTTTAGTGCTGACGCGTGTGTGTGTGTGTCACAGAGTTTTGTCTCGGTGACTGCTGCTCGCTCTCAAGCGTGCAATTCATTGCCGGTGATGTTCTGGCTTCAGAGCAGCAGGATGCCCAGATCATCCAAGTGGGGACCATGATCGAGGAACGTGTGACATGTGCTTTGGAGAGAGTGGTGTGGGCGGCTTCACGAATCTGTAAGGATAACGAAAACTTCCTGCGACATAACTTGGAATGCATTCATTTGGCCCACTCCTCAGCTGTATGTGCCGGGCTTCGAAGGTACTCGTTGCTGGGTGTGTGCCCCAATGATCCTCGAGTGTTTGTGCTCAGGCAAAGCAGCGCACCGTGCTCGATGCCGTGCGGTCGCAGGCCAGAAGGGTAGCAGGACGACAAGAACACAATAAGGTCTGCGAGGCAGCAGTGGCAGTCGCGAGAGCCTTCCGAGTGCCTGCAGCTCTCTTCAGGCAGCTGGCCCCTGAATCATGTCCTCGACAGCGCCGTTGGATAAACAGGGCCGGTGCCGGTGCAAGCGACTGCCTCTGCTACTTGCCTGTCTGCCTGATAGCCATCAAGCCTCTGCTGTCTTAGCCAAATTCGAGAACACTCGAGAGCCGTACTCAGAAAAATTCCTTTTTGGTTCTTGCACAGCCGTCCGGATAGTATGCAGAATGTAGACCACGATAGGATAACGCGTCAGTGACGCCCTGCAGGGTTAGCATGTGGTAGCCCCACTCCGATGGACGTTCATGGATCCGAAGACACGAGTCCATTCCACCCTCGTAGGACGAGGTGGAAGTTAAAACGTGCCATTCTGGTGACAAGCCGCTAAGCCGGATGCCCCGAATGAAGGTCCTGGTCTCCGGCCTTGTCTAGGTCTAGCTCAGAGGCCCCCAGCTTTTGGCTCTATGGGTACGTGTCTCATACAAAGTTTCGAGGTGGACGATGATGAGGAGGCCAAGGCCAGAACAGGGCTTTGCCGAAAGACAGCTCGTTTCGTGGCGGTGGAGTCGGTGTCCAGGTCCTCTTCGATGCCTGTCGCTTCCCGAGGAGACCCTGCTTGACATGTCGTAGCGAGACACCGAGCTGGGTGCGCAGGGCGGGCGACTTGCTGGACTGGGTCGTCGGCGAAGAGCCGCGCTCGTAGAATCACGAACAGCCGTCGCATGCCACCGCAAACCTCGTGTGCGCAAATCTGCGCGAATCCACGAGGCCGTGGCAGCGCGCAGAGACCTGCGATGGGCGCGCATCCCAAGCAACGGCTCGGCGGAGCTCGCAGCTGCTCAGCTCGCGCAGTGTTCCCACGCGAGGTCTGCAGTACGGGTTGTTGGAGAGACAAGCGCCAGTGCCTCAAAATCTGTGGCTTCCTCCTTATGCATCTGAAAGCGTGGCAAGGCTCTGAAGCGCCTCTTCGAGCTGCCTCTGAAGGAGGCCGGCGAGGTGCGCGAAGAGCGTTGTTTTGTTTCAGTTCCCATTCCTCGCATTGCCTCGCACTTTCAAGGCCCTGGCTTTGCACAGGATTGGAAACTGCCTGGCAAGAGCCTAAGTGCGGACCCGACGAGCTCCTCAAAGATGCGTGGGCAGAGGTCGTCCTTGATGCTGGCAAGCCAATCTCAGACGACGAGGTGCCGACCAGCATTTTCGCCTTTTCCTTCACTCCTGAAAAGTTGGAAGCCGAAGGAGTGGCAGCAATCTGCAAGCTTCGACGACATATCGTCGCCAAGGTCATGAAATCGAACTAGGGTGGCACCGTGCATGGAGCGCATCTGCTCAAAAGGTACTCCCCACGGCAGCTGGCTGCCTCTCGCTGCCAGGCGCCAGATGCACACTGCATGGACGCGGCTTGCTCGCGTCCACTGGCGGAGTCTTGTCAGGTTCGTGTCGACGGGGACATGGTGCGAGTATTCCCCACCATCCAAACAGCGGAGCCGGCGTTGCTCTCAGATCTGTACAGTCCGGGACTGTGTTGAAACACAGCTGCTTTCACTTACTCCCCCTCGAAAGCTTTGAGCCATGTCAATGCTGAGCCAAAGGTCAACGTCGACAGCCCATCAGCTCCGGCAACACCATGCTGTGAGTGGCATGTGCCCTGCCAACATTCAGATCTTCGAAGGGGTTATGGGATTGTTGTGGGTAACGGCGCCCCTAGGACGCCGAGACTGNNGGGGGGGATGATGACGACATTGTTACGCAAACACCCCGAACAATATCTCCACAAGAGCCGGTTTGCTCGGTATTTACGGTACTTTCGTGATGTCACCCTCTTGTATTGCATGGCTCAACAGACAGACTTCGCTCCGCCACAAGCGCAACTTTGTGGCTCTATACACACTCCGCTCCAGCACAAAAGCCACTTTACGGGGATAAGCTGAGAGTGGAGTCATCAATTACTTCCTCGACAGTTCGCAGCCACACACGTGCTCGTCGGGTATCTATCCTTTAGCAGAACCTGCCGTATGCGACCAAAACAAACTTTTGCCTGAACCGCTCCAAAACATGTGTCTAAACGTGTGGGAAAATAGCTAAAATCGTAAAAAAGTATGCACAGTCTCGAGGATTCTCACACTTTTTTATCTGGGCCTTATTCCCAAAAACATCTCGGATGTTGGGTTCTCGTTTAGGTTCCCACCGCGAGGGCGCGAGACGGGCCGGGCCACCGGCGCGGCGCGAGAGAGGAGCGTGTGCGGAGCGCGTGCGGGGGCGCGCGGGCGCGTGCGGGGTGCGGGGGTGTCTGCTGCGGGCGGGCCGGGCTACCGGCCGGCGCGGCGCGAGAGCAGAGCGCGTGCGGAGTGCGTGCGGGGCGCGTGCGGGGGTGTGTATATATATATATGTCCATGAGATGTATGGGCTCAGGGTATGCATGGTTGGAACCATGGTCAGGTTCTCGCGTTGCTACCTTACATATATGAGTTCGTATCGATGCCTGCTTGCTTGGTATGCTTGGCTGCTACCACTTTCAAACCGTCCAGACTTGCTGTTAAAACCAGAGGCCACCGTTATGTGAGCTATTCCACGAGCGAGTGGCGTGTACACTTTAGTAAATGCTTAACAAGACCGGCAGTCCCCGAGTGCCAAACGGAGCACACTGAGACTGCTGAGCAACTGCTTTATCGCAAGATCATCATGTAGGAACCGTTTGTGCATGCCATTTGCCAGCTGCCGCCCGTGCCATGTTCGACGTGTTTGTCAGAAGCCTTGCTGAGTGCATCTTTTCAGCAACGATGACTGAACTCCACTTGCAGTGGTTGTGAGGCGCAGTGGCAGGACGTTTCAGTTTCTTGCTTTCTCTGCTCATGCAGAGCTGATGGGTCAGCAAATTTTTTTGGTTTCCAAAAACATCTCGGATGTTGGGTTCTCGTTCAGGTTCTTACCGCGAGGAGCGTCCGCGGAGCGCGTGCGACCTGAGACGAGCGTTCGCGGAGCGCGTGCGGAGCGTGTTGTGGGGCGCGTGCGGGGCACGTGCGCACGAGCATTCGCGGAGCGGGGGCGGAACGCGTGCGGGCGCATGATTAAGGTCCTCGACCACCTGCCGTACCGATCCGTACCGGTCATGTTCGGTCTTGATGCTGCTCCGGTTTGTGTTTGGGTTCCTGGCTTGACCTTGTAAACCATTCGCGCGTTTCCCCACACGTTGAAGCACATTCCCAAAAACCCTGTTTTCGTGAACCCCACAATACGCACGGCGTCCTACGGGAGCCGCTTCCTTGTTGTGGGCATTTCGCAGATGCACTCAGGTCCGCGAGGGCCTCTCGTTGGTAGCCGTCACCTCCATGACTTCTGGCCGAGACCCCGGATGACAGAGGGAGGGAGGGAGTGAGGGAGGGCACCCCAGGAAGGAGCGAACAGCAGGAGTTTGCCGCATTCTGGCAGCATACCGCTGGACACTTCCCACCAACCACTGCGGGATTTTAAGCTAGTCTCGCGTATCTCCACAGGTACAGTAGAACGCTGATTGATTGTCCTCGAATCGGACAGCTTCCAGATGGCTTAGGAGGCCGACCAACTACGCCGTCGCATGCAAGTATAGCGGTTGACGGCATGTGGGCTCGTCTCGTGTGTGGGGCCACGAGTGCTGCGCGGACATCACTGTCCGGCACCCCTGCACAAACAACGGCAAACAAGGATGAGTGGGAGTCGAGCCGTTCGCAGCTGAGACGTTCGGCCCGTTCGGCCGGGTCGGAACTACTTGGAGGCGAGTGTGTGGGTGATTGTGGTATGTGATCAATGTCAAATAGTCTGTCATTTTCGATTCGTCGGAGTTGCCGCTTCCTTTCGTTTTCTAAGTGTTTGCGATGTATGGCTTGTCCTGCCACGCGTGCTACTGCACTGTTTCAAGTTCCTTCTTTGCCCTCTCCGTTGCGTTTACTCTGTGCCCGTGGCACCGCGTTGCGACTCCAGGCTTCAGGATTGGTCCACCTATGTCCACCTCCACTACCAGAATAGAGACAGGGCCTGGGATGGCTTGTAGGTGCGAAACCCTGGCCCACCTCGCAACGGGAGTTCGGGGCTTGTCAATTCGCTTAATTACTTGGAATCCATATTTTCATATTCCATCTTATACACAGAGCAAAGCGTCACAAGTGATCCAGGGTAGCATACGACGACACAAGCGAAGCCTGATTCTTTGCGGCAGGCCTGTACCCAGGGCTCCCGAGCACAGGCTGTGAAGAGCTTAGCAACCAATTCCTTCATCCGCTTCACGCCCAACCACACCCATCGCCGTGAAAGCGCAGAAAGAAGGCATGCATTTGACAGCACACGTCAGCGGGCCGTCAGGTGCGCCGTTTCACAGAAGACAGGGGCAGAAAGAAAGCAGCACGCGAGAAGACGCGAGCTTGCACCAGCTTTCACGGCAGGCAACAGCCTGGACTCAAGGCCTGGACACATGTGTTTGATGCTGAGTTTTGGGTGCCTTCGCCTGTGTGCTATCAGGAGCTCTCATTTTTTGCTTCTTGACCGACAGTCGAGTGCCAGAAGCTCCAGGGGGCTTGGGTTTATGTCAGAGGTATGCCAGCATGTGCTCCGAGGTCAAAGGATTAAGCATTGAGCGTTTGGAGTTTGCAGGCCATTGCAAGTACCATGCCGTGAAGTGTCGGCCTTGCACAAGCCGGTGAAGGTAACCTCATCATGCCGCAGCCCGACGGACCATCACTTCCGAGGTATCATCGGCGGGTGACAGAGGAGCAAAGCAGTAACCTCTCATACGCCCTAATTCGCCATTTCGCACATCTTAAAGGACCGTACAGTGGTGCTGGTGGTTGGCGCCTGACAGCAATCGACATGACGCAAACGGAAGCAGCGTCCATCGAATTGTCATGAGGTGCCGCTGAACTCACCGCTTGAGACGCGAACTCTGATAGACTCTTGGTTGTCGCGCCTCGGTCGTTTCAGTAACTAGTGGTTAGTCTTGAAGAGGACGACCGTAGGTCCATGCTGTCGACCTGCAAGGTGTTGCTTGCAAGGTTCACCATCGCTGCTCTGCTTCTTTGTCTGGACCTTATGTCCTGACTGGCCTGGCGGAGGATTGAATGATTCAATTTCTGGGGCTGTACTAGTAAGGTGGATACGGATGGTATCTGCCGCGGATGTAGATTTGTGCCAGCATCCCGGGGGCGGGCACCCAGATGCGAGCATCAGCAGTATCATCGGATCGGGTTGTGTTTCCTTTTCGACAGCTCGGAACGGGTCATGCCGCACTCAGAGCGCTCTCGAGCCAAGCCCCTTCCCCTGACAGTTCTTTTCTGCTTTCTTTTGTGTGTACTGGTTTTGCAGTGCCTATGCAGCCCTGCGAAGTTGTGGACGATTATCTAGGAGTAGGAAGAAGGGCTCGAGAAGCCTTTCCTGGCAAGTCAAGGCTTGCAGCAGACATACCCCACCTGGAGGAAATTGCGAAGGCCTTGCGATGTCATGGAGAAGACATGCTCTAGGTATGGACTTGTCTCAGTTCGGCAGCGCCAGGCTTACAGAGTTGACGAGCAGAGATGTCTGGTCGACGAAGATGCGTCCTCCAGTGCCGGAGTCTTGAAGAGGGTCACTCAGGCAGCCATGTCTGTCTCTGCAGTTTGGGAAGACCTAGGCCTTCGATCCGACAGTCCTGCGAGAAGCCAGCCACTCTCTCCTGGAGGTTCGATTTTTGTGGGAAGCTGTCGTAGACTGGAATCGTCCGCGCGAGGCTCTGGTCCATCGATGTGACCGTGACGGAGGCTGGCCGATCTCAGCCAGACAGTCTTCGTACTGATGGACTGAGTCACTGAGGCCATTTCTTGCTGGTGCCTGGGCCACTGGGGCCGAGACTCTTTGCCGGGTCGGGGCGCCCCGTTTGCCGGAGGCGTGTTCTCGCGTCGCGTCAGTGTGACCAAGGCCTGAGCCCGATGATGAGTGTGAGGACGAGGCACTTTCGATCACCGATGGCCCTTCTTGGAGTGTCCAAGCTGCACAGGTGAGCAGAGTCCCGGGCTTGCTCACTCTGCCAAGCCTCAGCCTCTCAAGTCTTTGCAGCAGGGGGCGCTCCAGCTTCTCCAAACCTCTACTTGTACGTATCTGCCGCAGCTCTCAGACTTGCACGGGGTCCCCGTGTAGCAGGAGAGCCGCTGCCTTGACACGCTCGTAGTTGTTCCAGCAAGCAGAGGATCTTGGATTTATGCCGGTACTTGGGAGTATTAGTCGGTGTTCATCTAGGGGGTGTTCTGTTGGGGGTACCACCAATCAAGAAGTTATGTGTACGAAAGCCCTTCGCTCCACACTGGCACCAATCAGAAGCAGATGAACCTGGGCAGGTGTTGCAGAGCCATGGAAAGCATTTTCCAAAGAAGTGCTTCGCCGACTGAGCTGGCTTCTGAGCTGTCTAAGAAGAACTCTGCTGAAGAGCTCTCGAGCTTCTTGCGCGATGCAAGCCTCGAAGACTTGTATCGTGCACTGGAGCCGCTAACATACAGACAAGGCAGCCAAGCCTCAGCTTCTGTTGCGGATGCAAGGGCATCTGCTCGCAGGAGGCTGGACGACCTTTGTAGGGACGTGGCTGCCTTTGCAGCTGTGGAAAGCAATGTGCACTGGATCGAAGCATTGCTGGCTTTCGCTTTGCCGCTTCTCGTTGACGCACTGCCGAAAGACCGACGTGGAACAAGTGTTGTACCTCACCCGCATCCGCTGCAAAAGCAGGTTATGCCAGATTCTGCTCAGGCAATTACGATATCGGGCCAAACGTATTTTGAGACGAATCGTGCGTGTGACAACTGTGACGCGCATATCCAGGACAGAGAGTTCTGGCACTGCCAGGATGGATGTGATGTCGATTTCTGCAAGAAATGCTACGAGCAGCTGGAGTCGCTCTTTGCGAATCGAGACGTACAGCATTCCCACTGGGTGGTCCAGTTCATATGGTTTGCCTCACAGCAAATCCTTTCGATGTCTCCGACCGAGCGAGAAATAATTTTGAGAGACCTCGCCTTCCAGTGGCCAATCCATATGTTCCAGCAACTGGTGAAGGCAGTGGTGGATGTTGCAGATGCCAGTGTTGTACACGTGGAGGACAGGTTCATGATCAATAGCATTCTACAACAAGTGTGCGACCGTATTACTGCACATCGAAGTTCTGGTGGCCTGCAGGGTAGACACCCGGTAGACAATGGTAGACGAGTCCTTGTGCCCTTAACTCTTCAAGATGTTGACCTGAAGAACGAGGCCTGCTGTAAGTCAACATTGCTTGCGTGCTCGTGTGATGTGGAACTGACCAGACGAAGGTGCGGCTTGTAGAAGGGAACTCGCCACACCACCCCTTCCCACGCAGCAGGAGCTTGGTGTGTCGCATTTCGTAAGGTTGTCGATATACGGTATTATGCAGGTTTTTGCAGTCTGAGTCCAGTTGCTGCGCAAATGCTTCGACACTAGGGCCACTAGGGTTCAGACAGAAGATGAAAAAGGGAAGAACAGACGTCAACTTCGACAGCAGCTCACGACCATCACAACTACATGACTGAAGCCAACTCTAGGTAGCATAGGTGACGATAACAAGTGGAAGCAATTCACTAGGGGGAGGAAAAGCTCAGCTGTCATTTGATGATTTGTCACGAATGGGAGGAGTGCCTGCGTAGCGTCATCTTAGCACGCCACTCCCAAAACAACTTGTGCCAGCGGTGAAATGAAGCTTCCGTCTCATCGTCAGGCTCATCGGACTCTGGATGCATATCACTTGCTCCAAATTACTCGAGCCAAGCCGGTCTAGCTTTTGGCCTTAACCTCCAGCACCTTCAGAAATGTTCAATTGACTTGAGAGCTCTGAAGACCTTAAAGCCTCGAGCCCCGAGGACAAATCCCGAAAAGCCAGCCTATAGCAGGAGACAAAATTCGTTAGTAAATTCGTTGACCTTCCGCAACCCAAGACAAAAACGTTTTTCAGAAGCACACGCACATTGCGGTTCTTGCGGGATCAGGACATTAAGAACATAGCTGGTGGGACTGGTTTCTGGCACACCATTGGCTTCTTGCGGATTTTAGAGGCTGCCAACAGGCTTCCTCTTGCAGAGCATCGGCTGGGTGAAATCTATTCGGAGGGTGCGAGGATTTCAGAAGCTTCGAGCTTCGTACTTCAAGGTATTGACAAGTGCAGTGCCCTGTCAGATTGGCACAGATGGCACAAAACACTGGACTCGCAAGAGGAGGAATGTAGCGACGTTCTTCTCATGCATCCTTTCGAAATCAACGCTCGGTTCACCTGCTTTCTCACCCACGCCTGCCTGGTGCCCGAAACTTTCCGACGCCAGTGTGCCATCTTCGACGTTCGAAGCGCCACCACCAGCGTGCGACCTGTGAAGACTCTTCGGCTGCTGAAAGTAAAGCGTGAGCCAGCAACGGAGCTGCTTGCCGGCGTGGTAGCAGCTTTGGGAACTGAATTCTTCGAAGGTTGCGAGGTGCGCTTGGAGGGCCTCGGTGCACAGCCTCAGCTAAACGGCCATCTTGGCACTTTAAAGTCATTTGATGCTTCAGCTGTCAGGTGGGCAGTTAAGCTCAAGAGTGGTGAGGAGAAAAAAGTTCGGCCACAGAACTTGATGCGGGTGCGCGACGAGAAGACAAACATATTTCATCACATCGGGCAGCTCTTTCAAGTGAGCTTTGTGGGGGAGCCAGCCAGTGGTCCTGGAGTCAACAAGGAATTCATTCGCCTGTCTTTCGCGTGCGCACTGCGGCAACTTCATCCGTTTCAGCCGTGGCTGTACAACGAGGAGAACCGAACGCATTGGTTTAACCACTTCACCAACGACTTCAACATGCAATCGCATGAAGCTTGCGACGCTTGCGCAGCCTACCGGGCCACTGGCGCTTTACTCGGACATGCAATCGCCAACGATTGTTTCTTGCCCTCGGTATACCCCGTGGCATTGTACAATCTCTTACTGCAGGCCATGGGCTCCTCCTACGCGAGGCCCTTTTCGTTGGTGGACTTGGCGACTGTCGACTCGGCGATCGCACGAAGTTTGGAGCACCTCGTCGAGTACGAAGGTGACGACATCGACGAGCTCTTTCTGCTAAATTGGCCCGACACTCGAAAGCTGAGGAACATGACAAAGGAGCTGCGGACGGGGTACGTGCGCGATTATGTGCACTGGTTCTTCAACGTTCGATGTGAGGAGCAGCAAAAGGCATTTTGTGCTGGCTTCTGCGAAGTCGCAGGTCTGTCACAAATGATTCGGCAGCATGTTGGCCTAGAGCAGCTAGAACGCCTCCTCTGCGGCATCGAACAGGCCGTGAACGTGTCGGCCGTGAGAGAAGGAGCTATCGTGCTGGGATGGGAGCCTCACGAGGAAACCTACCTTGCAGCTTTCTGGGATCCTTGGACAGCCTTTAATGACCCTTTCCGGATTCCAGCCAATATCAGGGGTTATCAGAGCCGGGGGTCACATGCACACATTCGGCTAGTGACAGGTTCAGCTTCTTGTTCAAGCTTACTTTGGGGTTTAGGGCTCGCAAGCAGCAGCCAAGGATAGATTCTGTGCTGAGTGCTGGCTGTCGCCTCGGGGTATCCCAAAATACAACTGGACTTAAACCAACGCGAATTGTGCACGAGGGTGAAAACACACAGGAAATGACCTGACATCAGGGAAGTAATCCGCCCAAAAGAGGCCGAATTCACAGCCTTCAGGCATCGTCATTATGGGTTTTATCATCATTACAGTCGGATTACCGATGCCCCGTCGATACCCCAGCTGTCATGCGTTTTGGGCATGTGTTTGAAGACTCAACTCTCAGCAAAGATTTGTCTAGCCTCGGTGGCCTACCAATATGCTTGAAATCACACCCCTTCAGCTGTGACTCAAGATACTAAAGCTGGCCCCGAGGACATTCTCGAGGGCTTCAGCCCAGACGAGCTAGACAATTTTGCTGTCTTCGTGTCTGCGAGCTCGAGGACTTGACGCAGCAACACGACCCCCATGGGCGCATAGCAGAGCATAGCAGAGCATAGCAGAGCATAGCAGAGCGCCTCCAGGATGCCCGCGAAGGGCTGGTCGGATCTGAAGTTGCAGATCCAGAAGAACGGGACTGGAGACGAGAGGTGGGCGTGGGCGGTGGAGTTTGCAACGTCATAGCGCCAGATGATCTTCGAGGTTCGTTGACTTGTCCATTGTCAGGTTGCCGACAGCGTACACTTGAAGCTTGATTCGCAAATTCTTGCCAATCTTGTGTTTGTTCGCAGCGGTATGCTTGTGCGAGCAAGCAACCTGGCATCCGAGGCTTTCACACGCTATTGCTGCCCTTATATTCGTCTCCGAATGTACTTCGAGAGCGGCTTCTGCAGGAGCGGGAGGGTCTGAGTCTGTGCAACATGTACGAACAACGTCGGCACAACATCGGTGTAGTAGCATTATGCTCGGCTGCTTGGCATCCGAGGCCGTGACAGAGACGCAAGGCTTCGGCTTGAAGTAGACCGTGGCGTCAGCTTGCACGTCACGTTGAAAATTAGAGCTCGGCATGCAAGTGGTGCGCCTTCAACGGTTCTAAGAGTTCTAAGCCTTGAGACTTCGACGGGCCGAGGCTCAGAGTATCTGGAGCCACCGGCTGCCCTGGCTGCCCTGGCACGCCTTTGGGAGTGTGGTTTTATACATGCGAGTTGGGCATGTCAACTTGGGTCGCAGGCTCAAAGCGCTCCGTTGCAGCAGAAGGCAGCAGAGGACCCCGATGGGTGGGTAGTTCAGCGAATCAAGTCTGCTCGCTGCTGGGAGGATGCGAAAACCGACTTATCTCCAAGTTCTCATCGTTTGCGCGCCGTGCTGGTGAGCCTCGGCGCTTGCTGAACTGCATTAGTCCATGTGGTGCTCCAAAGGTCACGAAGGCGTTGCTCAGCTACCATGCAGCAGTGCAGATCTCAGAGGACACGCGGAGAGACGGGAGCCCTTAAGTGTGATGATGGAAGGATGGAAGAGGGATGTGACCTCAGGTGAGGCTTGCGCAGTCGCCAATGACAGCAGATACTGCTCGACTGCGGACGGAGCTGAAGCATGTAGTGACCCCAGTTCTGCGTGACAACACCGAGAACATGATCAAAAGTAGGGGCGGCAGCGTCAGAAAGTCCGTGGGGTGTTGAGATGCGATGTAATGCTCAGGTTCCGTCCGGTGCCAGGCCAGAAATTAGAAACCACATGCAATTGCCATCGAGGTTTTTCCTGTCAACAGCCCCGAAGGTGGACAGCAAAAAGCTGTTGCCATCCTATTCGCGTTCGCCAAATGATGCTGCGATCGGCGTGCATCTCATCGACTTGTCCGCATCGCTTGCCAGTGCGTTGCTCGCACGCCGATGCAGGTCCGGGCTTTGAGATCTGCGACACTCTGTGCGGAGGATACCGCTTTGTTTCCGCTTCGTTTCCGCTTCGAGTCCCTTCCATGCAACTCTTGGGCTGGAAGCGGAGGATGGCTCTGCACCGCCGCCGCTGCCGTGCAGGCGCTGAAAGCTGGCGTAGCTAGCATAGGCTACCGTCTGCGACTTGGGGTGAGCGAGGTTTCAGCTGCTTTTGGCCTCGGCCTTCGAGTTTCTCGCAGACACCTTCCTGGCAGAGGAGAGATGTGAGAGGCTTGGATTGCTGAGTGCGTCTCACTCTCGTCAGGATGAGTATGGCGATGTGGATCTGGATCTGTCCAGAACCCTGAGCGCATTGCGATGAGCCCAGTTCAGCCACGGATTGGGCGAGTGCTTGCCTGTCGGAATGATTCAGAGTGAACCTGGAAATGCCCAGGCGACACCTGCAGAGAAGCCGGCAACATGTCACAGAGTGCTCCCGGCCACTGTTCTTACCCATGACTTGCGACAGATGATGCGACTTGCGTCAGCAGGCGCAGAGGGTCCGAAGAGCCGGGTGCAGCACCAGAGCTGAAAAATCAAGCGAGTATCGAAGGGAAACCACAGCAACAAGCAACAAGCCCCCGACGGGTGCACACCAACTGCAGCAGCTGATACTTTGCTCATGCTGCCGTTTCATGCCAGGATTATGCAGGCCTGCTGTATGTGCGGTTGCAGGTATTGCGGCAGCGTGCTCCCGAATCTGGAAAGTCGATTCGGCCGCAGTGTGCGGCAGTTGGAGGCCTGGCCTGACTTGGCAGGGCAAGCAGAAGTCTTGGGATCCACGGCAGGAGAGGATCCATGCCAAGGCCATCAATGCACATCTCTGTGGCTCTCTCAGAATTGATGTAGATGGTGACGGCATGTGGCGTGTTTCCATCACTTCGCAGGCTTGGCAAGGCTGCGCCAGAGGCACTCCTTCGGTCTCGGTGGCCTTCGCCTGCCTTCGTTATGTCAACTGTCACACGTGAGCATGCGTGAGAGTCTCTGCACATTCCGCAGCCACCTGGCAAACCAGCATCATTTAATCCACAGTTAGTCTTCCAAGATCCGGCAAAGCTGTGCATTCATCAGACTCTCTCGGCCTCGTCACGAGATCCGAAACGTGCCATCATGGCTTGGCGACAAGCTCGAGCATCAGGCAGTGATTAATGCAGAGCCCTTATTTCTGCAGAATCCTTTGCAGCTCGTTTCTGTGACGCCCATGGTTAGCCGAGGCAAGACTCGAAGGAGACACAGGTGCCTGGGCCGAGCTGATCGGGGGGTGACCCTTTGAGTTTGGTGCCCGAGCAGGCTTCAAGTCCTGGCTCCTTCCCGAACAGTTATGAAGGCTCAGCTCGATTAGACGGTGACAGAGGTTTGACTTGGCAACAGCACCAGTGCCATTGCTGCAGGCATCAGGTCTGGACAGGCCGGGCAAAAACCTGGTGCGGACGTTGGCATCGAGCACTGGTACACTGCTTTCCGTGCTCTGCACTGGCTAGATCTACACCAAGCGCTTGCAGCAGACGCCCAAGCCGTCTCCCCAGAGTCCAGTCAAGCCACGGGTCTAGGGCACTCTGTGAGATCGAGGCTTGGGCCTGGTGAAGTCATGGCCCGCCCTCGATGCTCGCGGCCTTTCCTGCAGTCACTAGCATCGTGACACCCCGCAGGTACCGGCATCCATGGGAGACCAGCTGCCGAGCACTGAGGGCATGTGTGGTGAGCATTGGGTTGATTCAGCAGCATTCCCGAGAGTAAGTGTCGGAAGGTGATTTAGAAGCAGCTTACCACCGCGCCGACTGGTAAATAAGTCGCATCGGTCTAAGTCTTGGTGGCATGGTGATCATAGATAATCCAGCCCGACCCTATCAGCTTAAGCAATTAAACAAATCCTTTGCCATAAACCTTTAAGCCCCAAACCGAAAATGAGAACCCCTCTTGTCCAAATTCAAGCTTCAGATTCATTGCTGCCGAGTTCACTACTTTCATGCAATGGATGCCGGCAGCAAGGGATTGCATCTCCGCACATTTGGCAATGCCTGACTGTACCTACGGCCCACGGCATTTACATCCAAACTATGGAAATGCATGACCACGCCTAGAACAGGTTATGCACGAGCTAGCTGCAGCTAGCTATATCATGAACATCATGTTGGAATTGGGGGCTTTTTCAGGGCTTTTTTCGCCTCTGTTGTCTTCCGGCATTGCGACAAGCTGGCGATAAAGCAACCAGCAGCTTGAGAGACTGTCCAGAAAGATCAAGTTTCGTGTTGGGGAGTCTTTCAAGGTGCCGGAGCCTTCTCAACACCCCCAGCCCGACCTAAAGCTTTGAACCCTGAACCTTGTAAGCTCTCCGCCCCTAAACCAAAAGACCTGCAAACTAAGCCCGAAGCTTTGGAACCTTAGACGCTCTAACCCACCTGCCGGCGCCCTAACCCTACCCTAAGACATAAACCAGAATTGAGCTCTGAAAAGCCCTAAACCTGCGGCCTATGCATGGGCCAGGAGCTTGTTCAGAGGCCGCAGAGACCCTGTGAATGGAAGGAAACCTCGGGTGGGAAACGAAACCGACGCCAACTGTGCAAGGGCTGCACCCTGATTGTGGAAACGTAGAGGTGCCATCCCACATAGAGATTGCTGCTGCTGAGTGACTTGTCGCCTTAAACCTACAAGAAACCCACGGCCTAAAGGCCTGTAGCCTAAACCCCTAGCCAACTGATTGGCAAGTGATCGGCGGGAGCGAGGTTAGCAAGCGATCTTTAGAGGAGTTGTGCAAGTGGTTCGGATGCGCACATGGCAAGGTGCTATTGGAGTCGCTAAGCATCAAAGAGTGGTAGCGCTTCCTAGAGTTCCGATTGCAATTCAGGTCAGATCTTATTGCAATGCTGTCTGCGCACAAGATGCTAAAAGCAGAGTCGGCGGCTTAGCCTGGAATGCTCACGATTTGATCCTGGGCTTGACACGCCACTGCGAGCCTGCAGCGTGCCTATGGCATAGCCAAGGGTTTTTCCTCGTGAGAAATGGCACCGCTTGCTCATGATCTTGCTCGTCAGGCTCAAGGCAGAGCTGGTTTCACATCTCAAAGCCGCAGTTTTTTGGTCTCTTTACAGGTGAAGCGTGCGCGCTCGAGCTGGCGGGAGATGTGCCCAGACGGCAGAAGCGACGACCGTGATTGCTAGATTTCCACAGATTTTACAGTGGCTCATGATTCTCGCCTTGAAAGGCTGCCGGCGCAGAGGTTGATCTTGCTCTGGAAAGTGCTTCAGAAGGCCAGACATTCGGCTTTGTAGCTGAGTCTCCCCTGTGGTTTCATTGCTCAGGCATTGCCACCTGCAGAAAGTGCATCCCTCGGTTCCCCATCGCTGTCACTCGACAGAGACATGTCATCCCGAGGCAGCATCCTTGCAAGCATGGTGACAGAGCAGAACATAGCAACCTGCTCGGACCTCACAAGGCAGAACGGCAGGGGTTTCACGCAAAAGAAGGCCGAGCTCAGGCACATCCAACTTGCAACAGCAAGTCGACGGATTTCTCTCCCTCATGGAGCTTCGCAGTGCAGGGGACCGGATTGCCGATCTGCCCCTGACTGATCAGGGTAGTGCTTGCTAAACCTTGCAGGAGGTGTGGTATCCTTCGCACTCTGCAGAAAGACTTGGGCAGGCTCACAGCGCCTCTTGGTTCCGAAAGATTTTTCAAAAGCAGGGCTGTGACCAGGCTTACGTTCAACATGCACTGGCGTGTGGAAAGCCTCTCCCAAGCTCCGCGCCTTTCCTGCATCGCATGGCAATACGTCGGGAGCTTGCAGCCAGAACTGCCACCCAGAAAGGACAACAGAGGATGATGCCCACGTCCCTGCCACGAGCTCTGAGCAGTACTCGTAGCAGCCACAAGCTGTGGCTCTGTGTCACCTGGCAGTCTGGCTAGCCCATACATGGTGTGCGCGCTGCACGCCGGACAGACAAAGCTGACGGGGAGTCTGCAGCTAGATCTTGAACTACGAGCAGCTCGTCACAAGATGATACCTGTAAGAGTTGCAGACATTGCTGGGTGTGTTTTGGAGATAGACCCGTGCAGCACCTAAATAGGAAAGCCGAGCATCACGTCTTTCCGATGCACATGGCGAAGTTTCTCTGGTTCCAGCAAAACAGCTGCAGTCAGCAAGCCAGGCATGCTGGGATCTGCGATGAAAGAGCTGGATGCAGCGGAGGCCATGGCTTGTGCTTTCACAAGAATTCCCAGCCATGCTGCTCTGCCGGTGATTGGGCAGGATCTTGTGGTAAAGCCACGCGCCGGACAGTCGCAGCGTGCAGGGCCTTACGAGCAGCACCAGCTTGTTTGGTAGTACCACAGCTCCAGAATCCGAGCATCGCGACACATCGCGACAGTGCATCACGACCGTGACAGATCCTCGCTGCTGGGTTCCATCTGCAAGTGGAAGGTGCCAGGGAGCACTCATGTGCAGGGACTAGCAGCCTAGCAGTCAGAAGTCATTCTTGACAAAATACTGGATCGAAGAGTCGAGCAGGCGCATGCACGAGTGAGAAACTCTGTGTTTTGTGTCTCAACATACTTCATGTGTCTTGCATGCAGGCGGATCTTCTGCATGAGCTTGCTACTTTGGTACTCCCGGGCATTGTATGCTCCCGAGAGCTCGTGACACCACAGCAGGACATTCGGCAGAGAGTGCTGCTGAGTCTGACAGGCACCTGGGCAGGAACTTGATCCGGAGATCCGCAGCTACCTGGAGGCCGAGGGCCGCACGCTGTTCTGCGTACTGCCGTGTGTGCAAAATGAGTCGGAGTCGGCCTGACCGCTGAGGCCCAGGTGAAGAGCATGAACGAATCTATGCAGCCGCCAGCTACGCAATGTGAGCGATGGCTCCAGGAGATTGGCCGTCTTAGTTGCCCTCGTCTTCTGCATAAGAAAGCCAATGCTTGACAGTCCACCGTGAGCCTCTGCCTCCGTTCTCTGCACCAGCTGGCTGTCGTGCCCAACGAGGTGACTGTCCCCCAAACGCCTTTTCGGTCCGAGCGGAGACGAGCGCTGCCAGGTGGCATCGGAGCTCCAGCTGCAGGCGCGGGGTGATGCCGGTAGCTCGCTGGGCAGACTCGTTTGCCTGCCTCCAAGCTCCTGCAGCGGTTTGTTTTTATTTTTATCTTCTTTGTTTTGGATCTCACCTTCGAGGATTGAAGTGGAAACCTTAACAGTTAGCACACCGCTTCTGGAGCTCTGATGGCATTCGTGGATGGTGTCAGATGTGCAGCGCTCGCAGCATCAGGGTTCTAATCAAAGGCAATTTTCCGTGTGGAAGTCGGTGTCGCTAAGCGTAGGAATGTCTGCATGAGCCGGGCCGCGCATCCCCAAACTTCGGCTGATTTCGGGTGCACACAGCTTCGCCAGGTTCGTGCTCTGCTAGGTCGAGCATACAGCAAGTCTGACCCCAAGGATCAGCCCGTCCATGGCCATAGCCGCCATAGCCCGTCCAAGCTTTCGTCTTACAGGTTGGGTCGGCTCTACGCGAGCACTGGCCGCTTCACGAAGGTCGGTGTAGAAGGCTCTGGTCTCCACAGCAGTTCCTGAGACTCGTGCGAGGCAATGACGCACGCGAAGCAAGGCATCGAGCTTTTCAACGCCACGAAGGATCTACAACATGTCGAGACTTAGGGAGGCCCTGTTTAGTGCCTCGGGATCAGGACAAGCTTGAAGCGGCAAAGTTGCAGATCTGGCTTGCAGCTCAGAAGGGTATTTCGACTCTGCTGATGGGTATTGGGCTGAACTGTGCCAGGCTCTGCAGATTGCAGTTGCGCATGGCAGTGCCTCAGGCGAGTTGATGGGTCAATGTTAAACACGCAGCTGTTGCACTCGCTTGAAGGCTGCTTCGTACACTCGTTCGACCGACTGCCATTTCCTGGACAAGGCAGGTGCCATTGTAAGAGTCTGTTTGACCACCGAAGGCTGATCTCAGATCCTGATATGAGCATTGATGTAAAGGTCAGTGTGTTTAGTCATATACAAAACGGTTGCTGAAGGTGTAGCTGTGCCAACAATCCACTAAAGAATTTTATGTAGCAGACCTGCACCAGATTGACTTACCGAGAACAGGTTTAGCCAATTATGGTCATGTTGACTATATTGCTGAACGAAGACTCAAAGCTCACGATGTTATATTTTGGTATATATGCAAGTGCATTATGTAGCATATGGTACTGTGACATATATATATATATGTATGTATGTATGTATGTATGTATGTATGTATGTATGTATATATATATATAGAGTCTACATTGTCTATATTATATGTAGATTACACATGACATGCGACACATGCACACCCACACCACCACCTCATCACACCTCCACACAGACCCACACAGCACATTCAACTTAGCATCTGTGCGGTTCTTGGGTATTGTGATCGTCTCCGGGTCAACAGAAGTGCTTGATCTTGTTGAGCCGCCTTTCATGTAGAGCTGACCTGTTTCCCCGGTTCCATCTACCGAAACTACCGACACCGGCGGTTCGGAAGGTTCCTTGGGGCCAGCACATGCGTTAACGCGCTCGCTGGTGTTAATGAGTTGTGACTCATTTTCAGCCCCCGACCTCCGACCAAGAAGGCAGGCCACTGGGTCACTAAAATAATGTTGGTATTTACCGGCAGGTAGAGCCACACGAATACGCAGCATGTTTAGCGTCACAATTGTGTGAGTGGTGGCACGCAGCGCGTGGCAGCGAGGGGAGCGCGGGGTGTGCACACGTGGACATCAGGCGGGAACCTCAAATAGCAATCCCAAACCCTGCGGACCCTCACTCCACTACTACCCCTACCAGCACCAGCACCACCACCATGACAACGACAACAGCAGCA